AGAGTGTTTGTTCCTGCTATAGAGCATAAAAGCTGTTTAACTCTAGCTGTTAACATACAAAAGTGAAACCCAATGTTTCAGAATCTCCTGCATAATTCAGGAAAAGCAGAAATATAAATAACTTTCTCAAATCTTCATGTTTGCCATACTTGCTAATTTTGTCCTAATGTGTATATGCTATTTGGATCAGAGACAGATTAACATTATGTAATTAAAAGGCAAATAATTATTGTATGGTTGTCTAAACTCAATTTTTACCCTGGGGTGATGCAATGAGAGACCAGATGTCTTCTGCATACAAATTTTGAGTTCTTTATCACAGGTGAAAAATAGAGAAGAATTAATTTTGTCAGCTTATGTACTGAAGCAAGAGAAAATGATTTCCTCTCCCCTTAAGAAGAAAGAAAAATTTTGTTCCATAGACACAAGCATCCTGGGTTCTTCCACTAGGTTTTTTGAATATAAATATATATATCTCCAAAGCCAAATAAGCTCTGGTGTCTCCAGCTTTTTTAAGCTAAAAATGTTTAAGATCATAGGCCTTGTTTCCCCTGAAATAGCTACCTGGAGAACACATATCTCTAGAGTTAGAGAAGTCTCTAGCAAAAACTACTCTCATTATTTATGTAGGTATAAATTAACTATTAATGCTTGTTCTTAGCCCCCACACGTATTTTCTCAATATCCCTCACTTTGTGAGATCCTTCTACTTTTGGAATCCCAGTAAAGTTTTTCTGTCCTATAGTGATTTTTATATATTTGCTCCAAATTTTCTAATTATACTCAACAATGGATGAATCTGATTTACCTAGTCTGCTATTTCCTGAAACAAATATTTCTCATACCTATAACTTTTTGATCCACGCAGTGTTCAACAGATTTTGTATTTTTGAATAAAAATATCTGACTTCTATTGGTATCTGTATTCGCTCGACAGAAATCATGTAGATTGGTTATGGGGTACAGCCTCCTTTAAGAAAAGCTCCTGTTCTCCTGTTCTAAATTTGGCCAAGGTCTTTTTCATAACCTTATTGTCTGTATCCAGTTTCTTTGTTCATTTAAGCAAAATATCTGCTTTTCCACTGCAAGCATCCTCAATAAAAAGAAAGCTTTTAAACTTAATATGACTTTTTTTTGTTCCCTAGCATCTTGTGAATAAACAAGTTCTTCATTACTTCAGAACATAGGGTTTTTCCTTCATTTCTTCTAAAGTTTAGAAGCCCCTGATTAGGGTGCCAAATAATTCATATTCCTGGTACTTTCCCCATTAAATGACTCATCATCTATCTAGTCTACTCTAAAAGTGCCTTTCTTATTTCCCTAGACCCATCTTTTCATGATAACACTACATTTACTAAGGATATTTATTTACAATTAGCCCTTATTATTATTGTTCAACAGAGAAAAAATGTCCCCAGTAATTATTCTAAAACACCGGTTGTTAAAACTTCCTGCAGTACCCTTGATTCACGTGGCAATCTACTGCTCTGAATCTATTTTCCACTGGCTAACTTAGTGCAATGAATGCCCCTTCCATGCCAAAAAATATGTGAAACCATGAAAATGAAATATGAGACACAGGAAAGTTTATTTCAAATCAAAATCATTATTTTTGTATCATCATTTTACTACTGTCAACTGTTTCACAAGTATATGTTGAGAAACTTTTTGCTGATATCTATAAATAGCTTCAAATAAAAGAATATATTGGTTTTCAAGAAGCCTATTTTTCTTAAGATTTATGTATTTACTTGAAAGTTGGAGTTACAGATGGAGAGAGGGAGAGAGAGAGAGAGAGAGAGAGAGGGAATCTTCCATCTGGTGGTAATCTTCCCAGATGGCCATAACAGTGAGCAGTAGGCTAGGCCAAAGCCAGGATCCATGAGTGTGTTCACCCAGATCTCTCATGTGGGTGCAAGGGCCCAAACACTTGGACCATATTCTGCTATTTTCCCCAGGCCATTAGCAGGTAGCTGGATTGGAAATGGAGCAGCTGGGATTTGAACTGGCGCTCCTATGGTAAACCAGCATTGCAGACAGCGGCTTTCTCTACTATGCCACAGTTCCAGTTCCAGAGTCTACATTTAATCTAGGACAAAAGATCACATAGAAGGGCCAGTGCTATGGCGCAGTGGGTTAATGCCCTGGCCTGAAGCTCCAGTTCGAGACCCAGTTGCTCCACTTCCTATCCAGCTCTCTGCTATGGCCTGGGAAAGCAGTAGAAGACGGCCCACATCCTTGGGCCCCTGGCTTTGGATTGGCGCAGCTCCGGCCATTGCGGCCAATTGGGGAGTGAATCATCAGATGGAAGACCTCTCTCTCTCTGCCTCTTCTCTCTCTGCATAGCTCTGACTTTCAAATATATAAAAAAGATCACATAGAAAGCAGTATAAAATATAGTATACATGAAATAATTCTGTACAGGCAAAATGACAGTATAAAAGGAAGTATATTAAGCTATGGGAATGCAATTAGAAGAATATCAAGAAATGGAAGATGTTGAAAAAGAAGGTTCTTTTTTTCATATTCATAGCAACGTCATTCTTTTCAAATTTTATGTAAAGTATAGAGATCTAATATATTTCATATAAAAAGATTTAGGAACATAGTGATACTTCCCACTCTACTCTCCCTCCTGCCCATACTCCCAGGTTCTTGATAAATTTTCAGACGTGGATTTGTAGGAGAAAGAGAGAGGATGTTTTCCCAGCAAGTGGTAATTTTTGTAGAGCTTTTCTTTTCAAAAGCTCAGTCAACCTTCATTTATTTCTAACAAATTTTGAAAGAACTGTTATAGTACATTAGCAGTGTTGACTTTTTTAACTGCAAAGAGTATGTAGACAGTTAATTATGCCATATATATGTGTGTGTATCATATATTTATATATGCACTATCATTATATATAATGAAAGAGAATAACATGGATAATCATCTCAAGTCCCAGTTCAGTCTTGTCATCTTCCCTCACTGTCCTAGGGAGAAATATTGACCTTCCTGTAGAACTAACAAGATGTTCAACATACAGATGTTGACATTAAGGTGTTTACAATTTCCATTAGAGATTTAAGTACCTAACTGAGAAGGTAAACAACAAAAAATCAAATGCATGGATGATAAATATAAAAAATATTGAAGCTGACAATTCCTAGCAAAGTTCATAGGAGATGGATTTTTTGGGGGCTGGACTGAAAGAAAAGACTTTCATGAGAGATATAAGATAGAATCTGTTCAGTAGGAAAACCACAGATGCTCTCTAGGTGAATGTTTTCTATGCCATTCCTAACAAATGGCTTTTTAAAAATATCCACTCCAGTAATAAAGAATCTACCTCCCAATTAAATCTGGTAGTGCTATCCAGAAATTTCCAGTCCCTGTATACTACAGGTGAGGGCTTCAAACAACTTAGGACCATGGCCATGAGAAATCTTATGTGGTTTTTCCAACACCATCAATATTATCACCTCATTGTGCTTTATCGTGACAAAGATCATGAAGCATTGCTCACCCAAGTATGACAGCAAAGAAATCCAAGCTTTGAATCAAAGAGATTCTTTTTTGCTGATTTATTTTATTTATGTGAAAGAGTTACAGAGAGAGGTCTTCCAGGCGCTGGTTCACTCCCCAGATGGCCGCAAAGGCCGGAGCTGCGCCGATCCGAAGCCAGGAGCCAGGAGCTTCTTCCCGGTCTCCCACGGGGGCCCAAGCACTTGGGCCATCCTCCACTGCTATCCCGGGCCATAGCAGAGAGCTGGATCAGAAAAGGAGCAGCCAAGACTAGAACCGGCGCCCATATGGGATGCTGGCGCTTCAGGCCAGGGCTTTAACTCACTGCGCCACAGTGCCGGCCTCTCAAAGAGATTCTAATCAGAATCTTGGCTCTTCCAGTTATCAGTTTTCAGACTTTGGGAAAGAAACTACATATTTTCAAAACTCAATTTCTACATTGTAAAACGGGTTCAATAATATCACCTTTTACAGTCTAGGAATTAAAAATGATAATACATTAGCACTAATAAATACTATTTATTCTGTTTTTGCCTATTTAGCAATGTAGAATTCTTCTATTTTGCAAATTTTTAAACTGTTTGAAGCTAGATTTGTTTCCTTTAAGAGGTCTCTTATTCTGGCCAAATATCCAAATTCTTGCAGTGTCTCCTTATCTGACATGAGCTCAAATGCCTTCTCTTGCTGCTCCTTTTAGAGTATGTAGAACTAACAGCAGAATGCACCCCTTGTCGTGTGGGATGGGGAAATTGGGGAAAGATATCCTTAGTGGAGAACAGTGTTGGGAAAGGAGAAAAAAAAACCATAATGCACAGGTCATGATCATTAACAAAGGGGTCAACGGACTGGACTGAAGAGAATCATGGGGGAAAAGACTTTCAAAGAGCTGGATTGTGAAGTCTCCAGAAAAACGACACTACAGATTCCATTCAATGTAAAGGAAAACCAATAGAATCATCATTTTAGGAGACTGATCCATCGCTTGAAAGAAAGCAACCAGGGCATTTGCGTGAGCTCCTCACAAGCAGGAAAATATCATAAATACGCTAATTTTCCATTTGCTGTCTTAGAAACGATCAATGACGTAGGATCCCCCAAAAGGAAACACTTGAAAATTGGAGAAGAGTGAATCACAAACTACACACACCTGGCCTTCCAGCTGTTGGCTGCTGGAGTCCACACTGGGTCAAAGAGGATGATGACCCAAAGAAGTTATGCTTTCCAATCCTGGGAGTCATAACTCAGTAGCTTCAATCTCCAGATTTCCTTTATTCCAGATCCCTTCTCTTCTTGCCTTCTGGTCTTTTTCATTCATTCTTTTAACCCAATATAGTGCTTAGAATCTTTAGGGTTCATATCCAACCCTGACTGAATACTTGTGTGACTTTGGGGGAAATTACGTCTTTGTAATTTAGTTTCTTCTTCTGTGAAAATAAAGATCTTTACAGTACTTTACAAATCGATTGTGACCACTAAATGAGCAAATGGATGTGAAGTGCTTAGAGGAGAGCGTGGCAATGAGTGCCATTTATGCAAATTATTGTGACTTGAGACATTACTATTCATGTTTTAAGAGATAACAGAAACCAGTAAACACAGGGATACGCTGTGAACAGGACTCTGTTCCTACTCAATGGCAGTGTTTCCCCGGATTTTGTGGAAAATTTGGAATCAGATTCCTGGATGCAATTTTAGAAGCTACCGTTCATTGTTTTGTAACCTTGGCTGAGTCACTTAGTCCCTCAGAGCCTGTTTCCTCATCTGTAAAATAACGATTACTACGATCCACTTTGAAGGCTTGGTTTTAGTATTAAATAAAATAAAACATGCAAATCGCTTCCCACACAATTGGAATTAAATATACCCTCCTTCCCTCCAGCCCTTCCCCTACAATCTTGTGACCACACCTGAGGCTACGGGACGACAATCTCAGTTTAGAAGCCAGTGCTATGTTCTGAAGTGCCGGGGTGGAATATGTGGGTGTAGCGGGAAGAACAAAATCAAGAAGGTTGAGAGGAAACGGAGACCAGAGATGCAGACACCATCCCTGAACTACATCTCCCGGGATGCTCAGCAAGAGGGAGCGCCCTGCCCTGCCCCGCCCAGCCCCGCACGGCAGGCGCTGCCCACCGGGCGGAGCGGAGCGCGCGGAGGCTACAAGTGCGGTGGCTGGTGATTGGGAGACTTTCCGGGGAGCCGCGCCCGGGTGAGCGCGCGGGGCTCCAGACGTTCCGGGTGGCCGAGGCAGAAGGTGAGTGGCGGAGAGTCGGGTGCGGAGGAGGCGCGCGGTGCAGGAGAGAGCCCGGGAGCCTGGCGGAGCAGGGGCTCCTGTCCCTACTCCGCGCGGAAGGTGCCTGCTTCGCCGCGGTTACTGTGCGGACACAGCCTGGCTCCCGTGCCTGGGTAGGCTCTGAGTTCGCCTGGAGTGGGTTGATTGATGGCGCGGCGCCCGTGTGGCACACCGCTGGCCGGAGCTTGGGCGCAGGACGCATCCCGAGGTCGGCTCCCCAAGACCAGCCTCGCCCGTGTCACTTAGTTCCTGTGCACATATTAATTTTTTTTTTTTTTCACACTGATGACCGTCAGACTAGGCAAAGTGTTATCTCCTGGCTTTGAGATTATCTGGGTTTTTAAACAGACCTGCATTTGAGAGAGAGAGAGAGAGAGAGAGAAAGGGAGAAAGGAAAAGAGCTGGTCCCCTGGGATTATCCCTGCTCCAGTGAGGCTAGAAGCCCTGGTTTGCGAGAATGCAAAGGAAATCGACTGTACAGATAATGTGTCTCTGATAGAACAAGCAGAGTCTCTTCTCTTTGAAGAGGGATAGAGGCAGGAGAAAAGAATTAAGCGCCAGTTTCTCCCCTTTTGTTATAAACTGGAAGTCCCCATAAGGGTCTCCTATCGATTTTATCCAAAGTAGTCTAATGTGATGAGTCAGTCGTGCCCAAGGTTACTCAGAGCGCCCTGTGCCTGAGGGAACAGCCAGACGATTTCTCATTTTACTAATTGGTAAAGCCCATTACCATTGGTTCATTCATTCAGGGATCCTTCAGTAGCCGATTGCCCGCATGCTAAGGAAAGCACTGGTTCAGATGTGGTTTTCTTGCACTTAGTGCTTTTTGCTGTTTTAAGTGCCAAGAAACTCCGATAACAGAAGGCAAACGTGTTTGTTTAATTTTTTTTCCCCAAAAATCAAATTGATGTAGAGCAGTAACATGTTGTTTTTTAAGTGAGTTGTCAGGTTGACCAGAAGCTGTGCCTTCCTCTGTGCTGCCAGTGCCTCTTACCAGCTGTTGGAGCTGTGGGTTTTGAAGCATAAAAATCTTCAAGCCAGGGGTTAAAATCAATCATTGCCCTGGATTTCAAAGCACAGTGAAAGGTTCCATTGATTAAAACCCCCAATAGTGATAGTAGGAAGAGGACTTTTATTTCTGGGAAAGATGGCAGAGGCAGAGAAAGAGGAGCAGATGGTTTTGTGCTCAACACAGAGTTCTATCCCAGAAAGGACTCCTGCTGCAGTGGGGGGTGAGGGAGTGTCATGGAAAGAAAGTTCCAGAGGTAACCTTGGAAACAGCTTTGCACCTGTTTGCTTCAACTAAACTCTGGCTGTACAGGGTTATAATTTGACTCCTTGTCAGTTTACTTCTAGTTTGGGTGTGTAAACATTTCTGGATGGTTCATTTTTTGTGCACATTTGTTAACAAACTGCACAGAGGGGAAGGAACTCAGGTCCACTTACAGCTGCATGTGTGTGGAGTGGGCTGGTTCATTGTCCTCTGCAGGGATTACCACAAAGGTGTAGCACACACTGGATCTGTGGATGGGGCAGATTGAAAGCACCGTGGACAGCCATATGGGGTCTTAGAAACACAGGGCCATGGACTTGGCTCCCTGGATGTGTGCATGAGATATAAAGTTAGAAGAAGTGGCTGGTCAAATTGCTGAGTCTTTGCTCCAGTGGTACCCACTGGGAACACGTTCTCGTTCGCTTGTGGGGATTCTCTGAAGCTAATCTGTATTACAGTCTGTTCCCAAGTAAAGAAAGATAAGGTAAACACAATCTACTTGAATTGTTAAGAAGTCTGTGTTTCCCCAAGTCCTCCAGAAATTTAGCAGTCCTGCTAAAAAGGGCGCCTGCCTTTCTCGTTTGTGTCTTTCTGCAGGAAACCCGCCTTCTCCTTTGAAGGATGCTGTCAGAGGAAAGTGTGAGTCCTTGGATAAATTTGGCATGGTGATGGCAGCGGGCTTTCTCCATCGACACTGCTGTGTCCTCCCCGTTCCCTTTCTTTGCTGACCTAAGTTTCTCAGTGTTGACGCCCACGACAAGTCAGATGATTTGCCCTTTTCACACCTCCTGCCTCTAGGTATCTGCTCCCTTGTTTGGCCCTTTTGAGGAGCTGGGGCTCAGGTGCAGACAGCAGTAGCTGCAAAGGAAATGGGAACCTCGGGAGCAGCACTCCTGTCAGTGCAGCCTTAGCTTCTGTCAGGTTCTTACCTAACTGTGTTGCTATTGGCAGAACTTCCGGAAGGTGCCGGGGATGTCTGACTAGCTCCCATGGAGCTCCACTGCCTTGCTAGGAAGCGCAGCCAGACAGATCTGAGCAATGCCATGGACTGGAGTTCAGGAGGGCCTCCTGGTGACCCAGCAGATGTAGCAGCCACAAGAGCTGCTCTCTGCTGCCAGAGACACTGCACATCTGCACCAAGAGCGGCTGGGATGGAAGGGTCTAGACTTAGCCCCTCTCAGGCATCCCCTCCCCCCTCTCAGCAAGACAGTGCTGCTCTGCCAGACTCTTTCTCACCAGGACCTTTTGACTTAGGGAGCAGCCAAATAACAGCAGAACGGAAAGTCTGCAACTGCTGCAGCCAGGAATTAGAAACTTCTTTTACTTATGTAGATGAGAATGTCAACTTGGAGCAGCGGAATCAGAGGTCTCCTTCAGCAAAAAGAAGTAGTCATCCCGGAGACCTTGGCTGGGGAAATCCAAATGACTGGTCCCAAGAGGCTGCCATATCCCTGATATCTGAAGATGAAGATGACACAAGTTCGGAAGCTATGTCTTCAGGGAAGTCGGTAGACTATGGTTTTATCAGCGCCATCTTGTTCTTGGTCACTGGCATCTTGCTGGTGATCATCTCTTACATTGTGCCACGGGAAGTGACTGTGGATCCCAACACGGTGGCAGCCCGGGAGATGGAGCGCTTAGAGAAGGAGAGTGCAAGGCTGGGGGCTCACCTGGACCGCTGTGTCATCGCTGGGCTCTGCCTCCTCACTCTGGGGGGCGTCGTTCTGTCCTGTCTGCTGATGATGTCTATGTGGAAGGGGGAGCTCTATCGTCGCAACAGGTTTGCTTCTTCCAAAGAATCTGCAAAACTCTACGGTTCTTTCAACTTCAGGATGAAAACCAGCACTAATGAAAATACCCTGGAACTGTCCTTGGTGGAGGAGGATGCTCTCGCTGTACAGAATTAATTCTGTTTGTGAATTTCTGGAGAGTCTGCCTTGACATTTTTGTAAAGAAAAAAGAAAATCCCTTTTTTTAAATAACAATGCAGTTTATTTATTTATGTATTTATTTCACAAACCAATAGCCAGTAAGTGGTTTTGTTCTTCGTATATCTTCTCTTTAGAAGAAAATCCATGTAAGATGCTGGAGAAACCACAACCAGCTACAGCAATGCTTCTAAAGAACTGAAGACTAATCTCTAATGGCCATGAGTTTGTACTTCTATCACAAAATTTTTCTGACAGTCCAATGTACAAATGATTTCTTTTAAATGAATATGGGGGTATTCTTTGGATCCCTGGAGGTCCTAAACATTGTGGGATCAGTCAGTAATCTATTTTGTGAAAAATAGCTTAAGCATTAATCACATAATAAGGCTCATATTTAATTCTCCAAGGTGCTTATCCATTTTCTTGCTAAATTTTTCTGCCTGTGATTTGGCTAAACACTAAAATACAGAGTTTTTAATTTGAATATTTTGAAGCTTGAGGATGTTGATATTTTTAAAGAAGGCTGTTAAGAATGTTATATTTAAAACTATTCCTGTATTCAGAAATGGTAATCAAGTCTTTAGGATAAAATTTCTATTAAAAGAAAATTATATAAATCATTATAAGACAAATATGAATTTAATCTACAAATTAGTGCCAGATATCTGCCAGTGTCACATGCCCGTTTTCTAAATGAAGCCAAAACCAGTTGTTGATAGTAATTTCACTTTCTGTTTGTGGGTTTGCCTTTATCCTAGTTACCAGTCTCTGCTGAGAGGCAAAGCATGAAACTTTTAAAATATATTTCCAGACAGCCAATCGTCTTGGCAGGCTGAGTCATGATGGACTCTGGCAAGCTCCCAGGGTATGTGGTATTTTCCTTGTTTGGAGAAAACCTTGGGTTCAGCTGCAGCTAGACTGTAGGGAGCTGTGCCTAGTACACTGCATTGCTTGTTCTAGGCCAGGCAACAAGCTGATGCCTTGGATGGCAGCAGTCCTTACACCCATGGCCAAAGCGTTAGGATGGGAAGAGAGAGACAGAAAGACATTACACACACTGATTCAGTGGGTACTGCTGTCTTCACTGTTCACCAAAACTCACCTGTCTTTCCCAGTAGTCTAGGTATCATTCTCAGCACCTTACATTCAGGCCCTCAGGAGCTATCTGCTTGTGCTGCATAAAGTACAAACTCATTCTGTGCAAGAGTGATCACAACTGAGCAGGGCAAGACATGTGCCCAGTGCACACATTGACATACCACCTTGGTATTGGCAGTAGATCAGGAAGGGTGTAGGGGATGCAAACTCAGAAATGTCTTGTTATCTTTGAGGTGTTCCCAACCTTCTTCTACAGGAGTTATTTTAACTTCCATTCCTGTGTTATGAGGATCAGTGAGGTCATTCTTAAAGAGGATTAGAGGTGGCAGTTGGAATAGGGATAAGAAAGTGGGTGAAAAGTGATTTCTTTGTAGATTTTAAAACCTAACACCTGAGGCTTGTATTGTTACTGGGACTGTGGAATACATGGGTGATTTTGGCTGGCAAAGTGTCTTAGTCACGACAGGTATGTAAAGAATTAAAGGTAAAACTCAGAAATTGTATGCTCATCAGAGGAAGCTACACATAGCCCAGTTTCCTTACCCTACAGAATAATATTGACTTCCTGCTTCAGAAAGAATTGGGTCCATATAAAAGATTGTTCTTTGCTATTGCTGGTTTTCCATGTTTTTGATCAAACCTTTGTTTTGCTTTGACTCTAATGTCATGATTCGTGCTGTACATGCCTTTCCAGAATGTGTGTGTTAGATGAGTTATCTGATATTAGCCTGCTCGAGGATCCACGTTGGGTGGTGTTGAAGCAAGAAGGGAATGATCTGTTACTGCTTGGCGAAGTCAGTGGGTCTGAGCTGTATTCTTTAAAGTACATTTTAAAAACAATTTTAAAAAAATATATGTTTTTTCATAGAAACCAAGTGAGATCAGCTGAATTTTTTTTGATGAAACTGATTAATTAGCCAAATGACAGGCTATAAAGAATTAATGTACAGCCCAATTTTCAACTGATGAAGGAGAATGAACCTCAGAATCAAATGTTACGAAGTCTGTTCAGTTCTTTAAAATTAATGAAAATGGAGAAAAAGCCGAAGGTTTTACATGTATGTATTTAATGAACCTTGCAATGCTACCAAATTATAAAAGTGTGATATAAAACTAACATTTAAAAATTCCATTGAGGAAAAGAAAATATTCTGGGGGGTCATGAGATTGGGTGAGAACTGGGAAGTCAGAATGCATTTGCTCTTTTCTGAGGATTCTGTACAATTTTACACTTTTCTCTAGAATTTAGAATTGCAATTTGGTAAGTAAATGGTTATTTCAACAACATTACTTAAACCTGCCTATTTAGAAAGTACAACTCTTAAGGGTCTCCATCTATGAGGGTGGATAATTACACCCAAAGGGACCAATTCAGAATATTATCTGAATGACCCTTTAATGCTGTGGTAACATAATTCAGATAATTGCCTTAATTAACTCTCTCCCATGTATTTGGTTTGTATAGCTTTTGTCCACCCCATCACTGCCTAAATTTGAGATGAAAATTACTTAAATTTAAAATGGTGGTAATAAATGCAAAGAAAAGGCCTGAATTGCACACTGTTATTACTAATCTGATAAGGAGTGTTCAGAGCTGTGGAAGTACCTTGGCAGGAGCAGGGGACAAATGGTAGAGACTTCGTTGGTCTTGGATCCTTCATGCAGATTTATAACCCTAGATCTATCAACATCATGCCAGTTGTGAACTCTGATAGTTTTTACTGCTAGACCTAGAAAAGCAAAACTTTTTTTCAGAGTTCATAGGTCTTTAGCTTATTTACCTGGTTTTAGACCATCTGTACTCAAGAGTTATATTCTTCATCTTAATGAAAAGGCAGCCCTTCTTTCAGGAGTATGGGCCAATGGAATGAGTATCAAATCTACTATTGAGATCTACACACCACTAATGGACAGATTAAGCCTCCTAATGTCTTTACCAAACTGTTTCTTTTTAGTGCACCTTAAACTCATGTGGAGAAGTTTGTAAAGAGTTTTCTTTGCAATGCCATGCATCCTTTCTAGCCTTTTGAGCACCTGAAGCAGACCATATAGCATGATGTCCTCTGGCCCCTCATACAGAGGGTGGCTTCCCATTGCACAGCTGACCTACAGTTTAGAAAAAGGCAAGACTGCTTGGAACCATGAAGTCCTTGGTGGTTGTGCATATGACTGATAAATCCTTTGATTCTGTATTACTTGCCTTGATACACATGCTTTGCTGAATTTTTAAAATACATCCCTCCCCAGTACTTATCTATTTTAGGGAATCAATTGGGTCAATGTTGGAAGACATCCTTTTTTAAAAAATATATATTTATTTTAAAATTTTTAAAATATATATTTATTTTTATTTATTTGAAAGGAAAAAAAGAGATAAAGAGGGAGAGAGAGATCTCCCATGTGCTAATTCACACTCTAAATGCCCACAATAACCTGGAGCCCAGAACTCAATCTGGGTCTTTGATGTTAGTGGCAGGGACTCACTACTTGAGCCATTGCCTGCTGCCTTCCAGGGTGTGCATTAGCAGGAATTCAGACTAAGAGGCAGAGCCAGAACCTGAAACCAGGCACTCTTACATAGGGTGCAGACAACTCAAGTGGTGTCTAAACAGCTCTGCCAAACACCAACCCCTGAGGTGCAATTTGAAGTGGAGGCAGCTCTACCAACTTTATTTGTGCCTTTCCTTTGCCCCACCGGGGTAAGCTTAAATGAGTGAGGACCATACCAGTTGAATATCAAGAATCAAAGATCTGAACCCAAGTGGCTCTACCTTTTTTACTTCTTTGCAACAGATAGAAATTCTAAGAGGAACATTGAGCAAGTGCGATGTTAGCCACATGCAAAGGCTTACTGGTAGTAATTATCCAAAATTAAAGAAAAAGCACTCTATTTATCAGGAGAATTATTTTTTTAAGCTGAAGGTCAGATTCAATCACAGTAATTAATGCTACCATAAAAGCATGGTTTGACAACAAAGATTCATACCCTTTGTCAGATGTTCAACTACTTCAGTAAGATTTAATGTATCAACTAGATTCCACTGTGATACAGGAGTAACAGAGATCCTTACAGTTCTCTGTAATGGGTTTAACCTTTCCCAGAATTGGGCATAAAGAATGACTGTAGTGATAAGAATTGTAATGAAGTCTTACTGGCTTTTTCCCGGCATAAAAGAGTGCATAAGAAAGAGAAGTAACACATAGTTGTCTTTCAGCTGATTCTCAGCTATATCCTTTTATGGTTCATCATATTCTACAAGATTCTCTCCTTCCAACTTTTATGGACATACAACTTGGGAAATAATTTTCCTGGCAAGTGCATCAACACTGTAAAAAGTAAAATGTTATTTTAAACACGTAAGATGGACTTGAAAAACATGTGACTTACACTTGAGAGTGTACTTGTGGTTTATGTTTGTTACTGTACAAGTTGTGGTGCACTCAAGTCTGTGTATATTTTAGGAGTATATTTTATAGCTAACAACTTTAATATCCAAAGCAATTGTTAGAATAATTTTCTTATAGGAATTTGGCATGCCTTAATGTGGACTTTATGAACAAGAGAAGTCTTTCACAGGTCATGAATGAAGAATTTGGAATCAGCCTCAGAATGAGATGCTATAATTACATAAATCTGGTCTGGTTGTTCAGCATCCCACAAATGTTTATTGATTTATTTTTTAACCTTTCAGTGTCAGCGTTATAAGAGTGTGGCATATTTAGAAATTATCTAGACATGAATTATTATTTTATTTCATAGAAATATGGTCAGTTCATCCCCTTGCTCCAAGTTTTAATAACTCTCCTGTATTTTAGGAACAGCCAGTCTTATTTTCCCCCTGGCATCTTTATGCTTCCTAGTCACACTCCATGCAAATGTGTAAGAAAGCAAAGCTAGGTTATTACTACATAGAGTATTTACAGCTTTTACTGTGGTTCTCATTGTGTTTTTAATATTACTTTTCTTGCCAAACAAAAATAATTTGATGTTGATGAAGTGTTTTTTGATATTATAAAGGGCAATTTTTAAGCTTTTGAGCTCTTTCCTATGGAATTTGATGCCTTGTATGTTAATAGTAAGTGTGTCATATTTTAAAAATTAAAACTTATTTATCAAGCTATTTTATTGCCTTTAACTTTTATTTAATTTTAAATTTCTGATGATGATTTGGTCTTTTAAAATTATAGTTGAAATTTTCAGTCCAAAGAAATTAAAATTAATATTAACCACCCATTCAAGTGTAACATTGTTTTTCCTATTGTATCATTAAATAATATAAACTATGCTTTGTATTTTTATTTTTTACTTTATATGAAATATTTATTTGAATTTCTCTAAATTACTCAGTATTGAACTTAGAATGTGAATTCATAACATGGAAAAATAGGTGCATAGGTATTTTAAAAACACCTAAAAATCTAGAAGCATTAGGTGAGAAACTATGAATCAGCTTATGTGTCTACTCTTAGTGTAATTTTGAGCTCCAATTTCAATTCATCACAATTTTTTTAAAATATTTATTTTTAACTTGTAAGGCAGAGTTACAGAGAGAGAGGGAGAGAGAGAGAGAAAGAGAGAGAGAGAGATCTTCCATCCACTGGTTCACTCCCTAAATGGCTACAATGGCCAGGGCTGGTCCAGATGGAACCCAGGAGCTTCTTCCAGGTCTCCCATATGGGTTCAGGGACCAAGGACTTGGGCTATCCTCTGCTGCTAACCCAGGCACATTAGCAACGAGCTGGATCAGAAGTGGAACAGCCGGGACTCAAATTGGTGCCCATATGGGATGCTTCGCTGCAGGCAGTGGCTTAACCCACTGTGCCACAATGCTGGCCCTGTACAATTGATATTATTAAGTGGAATTTTATCCTTATTCTGTTTGAGTGCTGTCAAGGTTAAAAATTCTAGAGCCAGTTGGAACTGGGGCCCTATTTATTGTTCCACCTTTTAAAAACAAAAAATCAGGGGCCAGTGCTGTGGCGTAGCAGGAAAAAGCTGCCGCCTGAAGTGCCGGCATCCCATATGGGCACCAGTTTGAGAATGCATTTCCAATCAAGTTCTATGCTATGGCCTGGGAAAGCAGTAGAAGATGGCCCAAGTGTTTGAGCCCCTGCTCCCACCTGGGAGACCCAGAAGAAGCTCCTGGCTCCTGGTTTCAGTTTGGCCCACCACCCACCCTTGTGGCCATTTGGGGAGTGAACTAGCAGATGGAAGATTCTCTCTCTCTCTCTCTCTCTCTCTCTCTCTCTCTCCCCCTCCCTCCCTCCCTCCCTCCCTCTCTGTCCTTCTCTCTCCCTCTCTCTCCCTCTCTCCCTGACTGCCTCTGCCTCTGTAGCTATGCCTTTCAAATAAATAAATAAATAAATAAATATTTTAAAAATCAATCAAGATGAGTATTCACTATAAAGGAAGTAAACCTAGTCTTCCTTCTAAATATTTTTTGCTAGAAGGGCTTCTAGGTTTTGTTAATCACCTCAAGGCACTCAGAATGGGCTGGGTAGTGCTGCTCTACAATCTTGCTCTAAGACTCTTGGGAGTCTGCAGGTTTACTCTCAGGGACCCTGCCTGGTGCAGCTACCTTTTCCAGTGTTGCTGGTTGCTAAGCTAGAAGGAAAAAGAGTCTGAAAAGTCTCAAACTGGCCTGGCACTTCCTCACAACTTACTAACCAGGACTAGTTACATAGTACCTCTGAGCCAGAAATGCAGTTCCATCATGTGCCTTGAAGTGGGCTAGACTTTGATGAAATAGCACTAAAATTTACAATAACTTCTAAGGTCTTTGTTTTGTTCAAGCCCATTATTTATCAATGAATATAAAAATCCTTGTATTCTCTAAAGATCACTTGATTAGTTTAATAGTTTTGTGCCGGAAACAAAAATTCTTTTAAAGAGTCTCTATAAAGGCATAACGTAACAGTTCTTTACTAAAAATCCTTAAAGAGAGAAAGTATCACATTTTATCTTGATAATATGTTTATCATTTTATTGTTATGTTTTATTATAAAATTTCAGAGATTAAACCAACACATATACTTTTGGTGAATGGAATTTGTACTTTGTCTCACCTAATTCTCACCATGTTTATATAAGGCAAGTTTAATCTGCATTTAACAATGAACAACAGATGCTAAAGGATGTTAAATGACTAGCCAAAGGTGAAAAACTAACAAGCAGTAGAGAAAGAATTAAGACCTAGCATTTCTTTAATAAAAATTTATTCAGGGTTAGAAGGAATAGTGCTACTTTTCTTCCAAAAAATTGTTACTCATTTTATTTTGTATTTATTATTTTCTAAAACAAACTAAGTAATATTACTTGAGAAGTAAGAGATCTTTCTTTAGTAGAATCATACCAAATTTTGTTTTTTTTAGATAATAGTGTGGTTTCTCAAACTAAAGAACCAAATTGAAACTTTAAAAACTCAGAGCTGTCCTATTCACCCACCCCAACCCTCAACTGAGATTCAGATAAGCCTATACTGACACTTTTCCCTGGAGCCCCAAAGAATGTTAGTTACTCCTCTATGTGCTCAACGGAGAACCTACTGATGAAAGTCATAATTGTGTGCTTAGTATGTGATAGGCATACAGTTTTTATGTACAGTGTCTTGCTTAATTTTCACAGTCCAGGGTATATTAGAGCCTTCAGAATCTGCTAAGTCAATGCCTTGAAGTTTCAATGTTTGTTCTTCTGCACTTGATAAGTTGTGCAAGCCATAATTTCTTCATCTGCACAATAAGGACAATGCTGTTTGCCTTACAGGATGCTCACAAAACTTAAAGAAGAAAAATGAGAGGAAGTTTGGCTGTCCCCAAATTCTATTTGGTGTTCCATCATTTGATCCACTATTATCTTAAGTGAGATGCTTCATAATAGTAGAATCTGAATTTTTTGTGTACTTGCTATCATATGTTCCTGTTGATTACTACTGATTATCCTATTATCCTGTTGATTGTCCTATAATTCTGTTGATTGATGAAAAACTGAATTGGACCAACTGGAGATAAATATTCATGATAAAAATAACCTTTGTTCCTTACTCCCCCTCCTCTTCTTTCTCTAGTTTCTTATTCTCCTTTTCTCTCCCTCTCTTTTCTTCCCTCTTCCTCTCTCTCTTCCCTCTCCTTCCCTTCTTCCTCCTCCTGCTGCTGCTGCTCCTTTTTCATCATCATCATCAACATCATACTTCATTGTCATGTGGAAACTGTTCATTTGTACTTCTCTTGCCTCCACCATCATTGATATTCCCTTCAAAAATGAGATTTATGTTTCCCTTCATAAGTCTGAAAACTTGGAGAAGTGCCTTTTGCTTAATTGCATGGTGTGGATGTGTGAAGACTTCGTACCACAAATCCAGACCTTGAAGAGTGACAGCTCCAATCATCAGCATACTACGTGACAGAAAATTCATTTATCTGTTGAGTAGAAGAGTATTAGCCATAGAAAAATCCAACAAACACTGAAAATCTTTTAGATTCATACTATTAAAACACAATATTAGTGAAAACTGTAGCAACTGACTATTCTTCACTGCTATTTGTCTAGATGGCAGAGTCCATGGCTTATATTTAATTTATCTTTGACTTTTCTTTAGCTTTGCCTACATTCTGTCAAAGTAGCAAAATCTGTTCAGGAACGCAAGTGATATTAAGAATAATTGCTAAAAAATTGAATTCATTTTCCCTTGACACTTAAATGACGTTGTCATTCATGCCCCCTGCTACTGAGTGCACCCTCAGCAATGAAACTGGGACTTCAGAGAAAGAAATGGGTAGAGCCAGATCCTACCTTAAATCACACCTTAAGTGGCATGGAGTTTGTGGTTATGAAAACAATGAAAGGGAGCTGGAAGAGAGAATTGGTAGACCCTAAACAGTCAGAGATGGGGCTGAGGGAAATAGTGATAAAAGTTCACTAGTGAGGCAGTATTATGTCAAAAATCACACTAAAGGCACAGCATTTTGCATAATTTCAAAAGAGCACTGTTAAGCTGAGAAAGAGAATTCATATAATCAAGAAGCAAGCAAATTCATACTGATGGCAGGATAGTTAGAATGTGGTTATTGTCACAGAAAACCAATGGAAAGCAAGCAGCATGGAAGTCAGAGTTTCTAAGGGAATTTCTTTGACAGAGAAGCCATTAGCTTTTGACTACTTGAGATTTAAAAAACAACACTTGGGATTCCAGACTGACTAGTAGGAAGCAGGTCAGAAAACTTTTATAATCTGCAGAGTGTCTGCTCCTGAGTATCCAATTTAGATGTGACCAAAGAGAATAAAACACAAGGAACAAACCCACAGAAACTTGAACAAAAGCCTTGGAGAACGGTGGACAAGTGAGCTCCTTCTAGAGCTCAAAACAGGGTCCAGTGTAGGAGTTACTGCACCTCCGTGGCAGGACCGCATGATACCTGCCCTACAGTTTCAGTATTGTGGTTACCATACCCCTGTTCCATGGCTGTAATTTATTTGAGGTATAGCTTATCATTTGTTTATACTTTGTCAGGCGAGGACCACAAGAAGAAATATCCCCAACCTTATGAAGGATGATTGTACATTTGGAGCTCTTGGATTTGAACTGAAACCAAGAGCTAGAGAGAGGTCTTTGTGTCATCCTCCTTGGGTGTAGGAAGGGATAGGCTATCCCAGTTCCCTTGTGTAGAGTCATTGCTAGAGAACAGCGCCCTTAGCAAGGACATTTCCCAGCTCACTTTTCATCTAGGTGAGGTCAAAAGACTGATGTGCACCATAGGAATGGGAGCAAAGTTCTGTGCTTCACTTCCTGTCTGAAGTGATTAGGAAACTGGTACACCTTTACTTATTTCCCCCCATTCTGGCTCCTGGATGAAGCTATCTAGAAAGAATAGAAGCCACATGGAGATAGCAAATCCTTCTTCAGGCAGAGGTGAGGCTGTCTGCTTCCCACTTATTCAGAACGTAACCTGATGTAGAGATTCAGTCATCTGTAACATTTGGCTTGCAAGGGACTCTGCTTGTCAGCATGTCACTAACAGTGAGAAAAGGAGACAAGGTGGAAGATTCGTGGGAGCTGATCACCTTCAGTTGTCTAGCATGCATCAGTTGGGAAATATAGACCAGATCAGAAGCCGAGGGGGCCTCAAACCTGGTCACACCAAAATGGGATTGCAGGAATCCCAGGGAGCATATTAACCACTCTGCTAAATCTCTCCATCCTTCTTCGGTATTGCTAATCTAATCGTTTTTTATTTAATTAGTACTTTAATGAAAATTCCCATTTTAATTCCCATTTTTAGGAATTTTTTTAAACTTAGGATGTATTCATGAAAATGTTGAATTTGATCTTTAAAAAAATTACCGGGGCTGGCGCTGTGGTGCAGGGGGTTTAAGTCCCAGCCTGTAGCACTGGCAGTATCCCATATGGGTGCTGGTTCAAGTCCGGCTGCTCCACTTCTGATCCTGCTCCCTGCTAATGTGCCTGGGAAAGCAGCAGAGTATGGCTCAAGTCCTTAGGTCCCTTTATCACATGGGAGACCTGGAAGAAGATCCTGGCTCCTGGCTTCAGATGGGCTCAGCTCGGCCATTGTGGCCATTTGGGAAATGAACCAGTAGATGGAAGAGTCTGTAACACTGCCTTACAAATAAATAACTAAATCTTTTAAAGAAGAAACTTAAGTTTAAAGCTTATAAGTGGTGAAGTCAGGTCTGACACAAAAATCCATATTTTTCAATCTATAATGGGCTATCATTTACTTCTATGGATCTTTTCAGTTGAACTGCCCTTCCTTCCCTTTGCCAAAGCCAACCTAATGGGT